GTGCAGGACCCTTTGATAGATATCAAAGTCATATGAATGTCACCTTGAATTTGTTGTGTCTACCACATAATGTACAATAATTGAATTTAATTGAAGCTTGAAACATCTTTGCTACCAATTTTTATTCAAACCAAAAATTCGAACCCAAATTCCACCCAAACATACTCGAAATGAGCGGTAATTTTTTTTCGGGCAATAATTTTTTGACATTTCGTATTCCATAGGTTAACATTTACATTATTATTATTATTTTGTTTATTGTGCTAAAGAAATAAAAAAATGTGTCTCTTTCAATGAGTCGAATTCCATGCTTTTTTTGTCGATGAATCATGTATTAAATGTGCAAAATCACTTTGAATGAGACTTGGGCATTGCAAGTGAAAATCTAAGACAATTTATTCTTATTATAATGAATCAGCCATTTTTGAACGGCGGTGCGCAGTGTATACATGTAATTTTTCCATACAGTTCACGAGGGGTTGCGTAAATGCTGTCACATTCAAGTATCGCTGTACAATACATATGTGTATCTGATTCGAAATAATGAAAGTTCACCATAAATTTGTTTCGACAATCATTCCGTTAGTTGATTCTTTTATGAATAAATTAACGTGAATTATTCAATTGAAGGAATAAAACTGAATACATTTTAAAATACGCACTAACGAATATGTGTGAAGCGTTAAAATGTTGCCGAAATGGATTCCAATCTATTTAGACATGTTAAGTATAAAGATATGAACATTCGGTTGAAAATTTCAAGTGTGGTTGTTGACGACGATGATGATGATTATGATATGTAAGTGTTCTCTTCGCATACACAATCGGTGAAACGCTAATGAAGTGAATTTATTCCACTTTAGTTTTAGAATCATCAAATCAATTTAAATACGAAATCAAGTATACCATCAAGTGTGTTCGCTATTTTTTAAATCTTGTTTTGCAACATTGCCGCGTCATGCAAAAGAGTATTTTGATGTTGCAGCTGTCATTACTAGTATGTATGAAGAATTTCAACTGAAGATGGGAGAAAGCGTTTGAAATTTAACCATCGTTTTTGTTATTTAACCCTGGAGTAATTTAAGTGTTGAACTCACCAAGATTGAATTTTCAAATATACACCATCCCCCTCACATACACACATTCACGATGTTCGCATGCACACACTTCAACGGAATATGTTGATATTTTGCTTCACTGATGTTAACTAAGTAGATCCTGTTTTCATAGAAAACAATTAGTAAGTTTATATCGATTTTTATGTATTTCCCCTTTTATGAACTTTTCATCTTATTAAGCGAATATGGAGCATGAGTTATTCGCATATATGTGCGATGGTGGTGAGCAACGAATCTTGGTATCAATGTGATGTTGCCATCGTTATGTGAAGTTAAATTATATTCGATCGCGCATCGTTTGGCATTATAACAACCGATAAAACAGTTGAGAAATCACTCGAAACGGACATAAATAAAGGGAAAAACACTCAACACAGCAAATCTTTAATTTAACTTAAGCGATGAATGCTGTGTAAGTCACCAGATGCTATTTTCAGTCATTTATCTAAGTTTACCCATTCACTTATAAGCGAATATATAAACATGTTCTCGTTCTTCTTATTATTCTTCTTCTTCTGTTCAGTCTGTTTCTCTCCATCTCTGTTTTCTTGTTATGTATTATTTCTGGATTTTTCCTGTGTTAAGCTATTGTTTTCCACTTGCACCCACTTGCATGTGATGAGGCTAAAAAGGAAATAATAGTCGGTTGGCTGTTGAATGGTGATCGTTCTTCTTTTCTACATGACTTCAGGCCATGTTTCGGTGTGTTTTAAATTTTTGCTCGTTTTTGTTCTTTATCAATGTTGTTGTTGTTGATTTTTTTATTCCATTCTATCGCTCTGTCTTCATTCTTCATTCACCATCAAATTATAGTGAAGAGACCAAAGAGTGAAAATGACGAAAAAAAAGAGAAGAGAAAAGAATGAAATGTGCATGAGATATTTAACGCTTACAGCCTCTTCACATTCAGATAAGACCCATTTTATACCATCCACCATATATCTATATATCTTTCAGTTCTGTGTATGGTTTATTCGTTCGTTCACATATTTTTTTCTCCCTGAATTCTCTGAATGCGCGCTCTGTGTTCGCTCAGTTTTTCTTCGGTGTTCCATCGATGTTGTTGTTTTTTTTCTCGTCGATGTGTGGTTTCCATTCGTTCTTTGGCATGCACAATTTTTCATTCTTTCTTTGCACTCTTTCATTCAAACTTGTTGTCGGTGTGTTGCGTGTGTTATATGCTTATTTTCATATCGGCCACTCATTCACTTTACACGATGCATGTTTACCATGTCATTTACCACATATTTGTAATGTAAATACATAACGCATTCGGCACAAAGGCGCACAAGATGAATGAATTTGTTCACAAAAGACACACACACGCCCATATATATATAGCCAAGAGCAACAAGCCGTGTAATGTAGTTCGTGTGACAACAATTTTAAAAGTTCCTCTTGCCTGTGGAACAAGTGAAAAGAAAGCGACATTTCTCTTTCGTTTATGTATTTTTTTCTTCTTCTTCTTCTTTTTCTTTATTCTGTGTATGTTGTTGCTCTTTCATTCTAACTCTTTTCTGTAATTCGCCTTTTCCCCGCTCACATTTGTATTTATTCGCATGCCATTTATCGCATAAAATATTCAAGTTAAATATTTCCCATTCGGTTTAAAGCTTGTTATTTTTACGTTTTCACTTTTGTCATCGTTTCCGATTGCATAGCTATGCAAGCACAAAAAGCGGCCTACTACATTTACCAAACACAGATATATATTTTTTTTTATATCAATTATATTTGGTGCGTTGGAATTTACACAAATAGCAATTGAATATGGTCGCAGAGGATAGGGGAATGTATATACGTATAGAAGACGAACATTTGTTCATGTCTCGTGTAAACAACGAACAAATTGAAAAAAAGAGAAAATATATGTATTATTAATGACAGCAAATGGATTTAATAGGGCGTAATGTGTTGTATTTAACTGCAAGCAGATCACACATGCTTTCAATTGTATGCATTTCTGTAAGCTAATTAGGCACGAATTCATGTGAGCACAACACTTTTGTAAAATCCTATACCAACATTTCATTCAGCATTTGGTAGATTGCATATTTGCACATGAGTCGGTAATTTGCAAATAAAATCGCAAATAAACGATTAAATGTACCGATTTAAAAAAAAGCAGCGAATACTAAAGAAAATATTTCCAGTTTCTGGCAAATCTTTGTTGTTTTTTTCTTCTTCATTATAATGAGCATTAAGTATACTTTCGTTTGTAAATAATAAACATTTTCAACGACTAAAGGGACGAAAGGGGAGAGAGAACGAGATAGAAGATGAGAGAAAATGATATGTATTTGCATATTTTCAAAGTTCCTACTGTGTGCGTTTAGTATGATATACCGGCGGCATCGTAAACCTTATTCGCTGTTTGCGTTCTGCATGAAAGAATGGCGAGCACACAGTCACTAATTATTATAAATTAAGCTTTGAGCTTGCAGCTATTGTATTATGTTTATATGCCATGTCGTTTTATCTCAGCAAAAAGTGCCAAATAGAAGACCCATACATTTCGACAAATGTGATTTCGAGTGTCGGCTGTTGACTTTATGTCATTATTATAAATAGAAAATGTCGTTGTTCATAATCGTTGTGTGTGTGCACGAGGAAAATGTAAGATTGAGATGGACGAGAATGAGCCGGTGAGATAGAGCCAAAGAGCCAAAGAGGAAGACAGCTATAAATACACAAGTATGGCACAATGTTTTCACCATTTTTTTTTTTCTCATCTCGGCAGAAGCAAGAAGGCGAGATCTGTTCTCAAAATTTCATCACCCACGATGTGGCTTGATACGCTTTTCGCGACATAATTTAAAACATACAATTTTCATTTTGTAACGCCGTATCGCTGTGAAACATTAATAATAATATTTGTCAACACACCATTTATATTCTTATCGAATTACTTCTTACCAAGGACTTTATAATTCTCATAGATGGATTCAGTAACAAGACATCCTGACACAAACATTTTACTTCTATTCGTATGGTTCGTGCAGTTTTCATTGCAGTTGCCATTCGAAAGCTTAAATTCCATGTGATTTTGTGTGAGGATAGAAACGAGAAAGCGAAACGATTTTCTACATATGAAGAAGTCGCAATATGATACGCGTACACATTCTTCTCTCACGCAAATGCGTTTGCTTCTAATGACATATTTTGTGCTTACATGGGACTGATAGCCCATAAAATACGATACTTATTTCTTCGGGACATTTGGATGGGGGGCGAAAAATTTCAATAAATGGCACAGCTTGTGTTACCATCAACTCAAATAAACGATTTCACACGCTGATCGTGATGTATATATGCAGACGGATCCCTCTTTGTGTTATGTGAATGAGTAAAGTTTTCATTTGGGGCACTGAACATTTTAAAGGAAAATGAAATTCAAGCCAATTATATTACGTACTCTATATAGAGATATATTAGATATAGCATATAATAGTTTGGTACGTTAGATTTTTTTTTGGTTAAAACCTATTACAAATAACACCAAAACTTTGAAGATAGTTGATTTGTATAATTTGATTTTTACATCTTTAATTAAGTTTGGTTTCGATGAAAAGCTGGTCGACAGCATGTGCTTTTATATACAAAAGTCTTTACTGAACACAAAAACTCACACTCTTTCAGTAATTTATTGTAGCCGAATTGAAATTGGATGCAACGTGCGCCGCACACACATTCACATACATATTTCATCTAACTGATGAATAGACAAGCGTAAATAAAATGAGAAATGTCGACGTGTCTGAATGCACATATCTATTGAGTGGATGTGTGTATGTGAATGTGTATGGGAACACAAGACAAAAGAGAAATAGAGAAGAAAAGCGGAATTCCAAATGTTTATTGTTTTTACAAAAAAAAAAATACCTTTACTGGCACCGTCCGGTCCTCGTAGTATTGTACACTCTTCAATTGTTCCGAATGGTGTGAATAGCTGCTTTACATCCTCTTCCGTTTGTTGCTTGCTTAGCATACCAACGAAAAGTTTTCGATCTATTTCGAAAAATGTTCCGTATTGCCATTTGAAATGGTAGAGCCCCACGATAGAGTGAGAAATGGTTTGTTGCACATATTTACGTTTTCGTTGTTCCCCAATTCGATACATTATCGTAATCGTTTCGTCATCGTTTACCGCATCACCATTGGAAAATTGTTGTAAAGCCCAACCAATGTTTTGTATGTGTATATGTGTGATTGTATTATTTCATTTCATTTTTGTGTATCGTGTTCAATTTGCCGAATGAATTTGCCGGTTTGTGTGTATGTTTCGTCGTGTATTTGTGCAGCCATTCAAATCAACATCATTATTTTGCCATTTTATTCCGGTTTTGATTGGATCAACAAGAGAGAGAGAGAGAATGCGAAAGAGAGTTGGTGTGTATGTGTTTTTATGTGCGAGATAGAGAAAGAGAGAGTGAAAACAAAAGGAAACAGAAACAAAATAGAATTCGAACAGAAGACATAATCAATTCCCATTTTGCATATCAATTTATCGCCATTATTCGTAAAGCAATGAATGAACATAAATAATGAAAGAGAAGAAAACGATAAGCAATAGAAGAAATAACGGCGTGCGCAAACCAAACACAAGCCATAGTTGATGGCAAAGAAACAGCAGCCGACAAGGAATGATAGAAACACGAAACGAACGAGCAAAAAAGCAAAAATAATTCGCAAACACGATCGCGAGTAGCGCGTTTCAAATTTTATCAAATAAAAACAAAAAAAAAAAATAAATAGGGTGAATGAAAAAAAAAAGAACCAACAACGAATGAGAAACGAGAATGGAAAATATTTCACAATTTCAACAAGAAACAAATGGAAAATGGAAACAAATAACAAACATCCACCATGCATGAATAATGAGCAGTTGATTTGAATGAGAACGTGCGATTCGATGGGATTCAATGTATGAGGCGATGAATGGTTTCGATATCCAATGACGAATATTCCAATTGATGAATATGAGATGTATGACAATTGATTTATTATTGTTATCGATGTTCCCATAAATAAATTAATTTTATTGGCAGCCACAGTAAAAAGAATGAGCGGAAGAGAAGGAAAAAAATATATGGATGAGTGGCGATGCGCGCGTGAATTTTGGTGTATTTGCCCAACGGAATTGATATATGTTTACCGACGAAGATGATGTGAATATAAGGCCATATCAGTCCAATCGACGGAACCATTTCAATTTGTTGCATTGACGATGTGTATTGTTTGTGTGTTTCGAAGGGGGAAAAAGAAAAAAAAAACAAGAACAAAAATTCATTTAGAAAAATTTCAAAATAGTCGGATTATTTTTCTTATACACTATACTTCAAGCTAACTACTATATACACATTACAACGAGCAACACTATAATCAATATTACATAAAGCTGTCAGGTGAGAGCCGGAAAGTATAAGCAAATCTTTTCATGGTGAATAATATTAGTTGTATTAATAGAGAGAAAGAAAAAGAGAGAAAGAGAAGGTAGGAGGGAGATAGAGAAAAAAAACGGAAAACAAATCGATGTTACAAATTGCTCGCACTTTTAAATGAGCAATTGCTCCGAAATGATCGTGAGTGCCACAAATCGATGATTGAATATTTCAATGCGTCGGCCGGCGGCACATCGGAAACTATTTGAAAATAAAAAAAATCGCAGTGTGTGTGTGTGTGTCTAAAATTGCGATGCATTTTATTTTTGTTCATATGGCTAGGTAATTTGAAGCCCACGATTCGATAAAACTAAATGGACCCATGTGTGCTTAGAGCACAATCACCAAACAATTGAATGCAGAATTAAAAGTAAATTGCATTCATATGTTTCTCTACGATATGAAATAAATGTGTAAAGAGTATGCAAGAGCACACTCGTGTTCAGAGTGGAAGAGAGAGCGAGAGAGAGAGAGTGAGAGAGAGAGAACGACAATGACTGGGCAAATAACAGTCGGATAGTAAAATTTTATGATGTAGGCAACTTTTCCCATGATTTTTCATTGTTGAAATCCATTATTTGCCATATCAAGTACACCGTACACAGTTACAATTGAGCATCGTAAAAATAACATAATAATCATAAATCCGTTCTATCGAATGAAGCAAAGGTGGTTTATGAAAAAGCTCTGATAAATTTATGCGCCAATTCTATTTTATTTTCGGTCTCGTTCATGAGCAATCGCTCTCCGTACCTCCTACACTTCATTCGAATTACAAATGCATGTAAACACAATGTACACTATGTACATATAATGTTCTGTATTCGATCAAATGCTAACTAAATGCTACTTTTCTCTTTTCTTTCCTTTTTTGATTTCTCTCTCTCTCTCTCTCTCCGTAATTCTCGAATTTGTAATGGAAACTTTTGTTCGATGTACACTTTGTTTCAATACACGATTTGATTCGATTTCAGCATTGAATTGTAATTCCGAGAGCAATGCCAATGGAAGGTGATAAATGAAAACAATACAACAGACCCGAATGAGAGACAATGTCAACAACGGCTCATATAACTGGCACTAAAAATCCATCGAAATTTTGTCAGTTTGACGAATAAAAAATGCATAATGTGAAACAATTTGGTGACGAAAACCATACATTTGTTTTTGTTTTTTTTTTGTTTCTCTCTTGCTTTTTTTAATAAATTTTATTGAACCATTTCAATTCAATAATTTCGAAAACAGCAATGTAAATACAAACGTTTACAGATTGAATGACGATTTGAAATCGCCAGCGGGAAGCATATCAATATCTTTCCTTTCCATTAAACGAAATGCGTATGCAAACATTCCAATAAATGAAATATAAATAATTTGGCAGATCGAGCAAGCAGAGCGTGGGTAAATGAGAGAGGAAAAAAAACACTGAGAATGATGGACAGACACATCAAACGGATGAGTGAGCGAGGAGAAAAGATACACGGAGGATGTCTGAACCCGAGTAGTGTCATTAAATTATTATGGTTCATGGTGATGGAAATAGCAATTTATTGATGGATCATCGTATTTTATACCATTTTGTTTCAGTTGAAATGTGCCCATTACAACGTCTCGTTATCACACATTGCATCGTTGGGTATGCACATTGCACATATTCACAGACACAAACCTATATGAATGAATGAAATACAATCATAAAATAGTAAACTACTATGATGTTTCAATGCAATTTATGATTTATGGCTGGCATGCAAAAATAAAATGCTTAAATGCAACGTTTAATTTTGCCCGCTAACGATCTGTCATGGTTGGTGGCCTCTCTTATGACCAACGACCATAAGAGAATTCAATCGAATCGAATCGTTCGTCGTTTATTTTCGACATATATAAAATGAAATGGTGTCTATGTGTGTAACAGAGAATGAGAGACGGAGTAGAAGAAGAACAAAAAAATGTGCTTTCATATTAGTGGCCAAACAACAACGAAAGTGCACGTTATCAAATTAATTGTTTGAAAAACTGAAATGTTCTTCATTCGAATCCATAAGCTGTCTCTGCATCGATCGATGTTCTGATTTAATGTGTGTATATGTGTGTGGACGGGGAGAGGTGTATGTGCAAAAGCACACTCACACCAAAACCCATAACATTATATGCCATATCGATTGAGCACTTTTTCTCGCATCTTGTTCACAACGGAACAATAATTTTCTGAATTTTCAAAGCCATATCAATATGGCGAATACAACGTCATGTCGCTTCGCGTCTGCATTTCAAATCGTTATTATTTGTGAATCACCTATGGCGATCATAGCGATTGAATAACATTTATAGAATGCTCAAATAAACATCACATGTGTCGAATATCGCAATTTTCTAGAAAAGTAATATACATTCGTGCTCCGCTTGCCCTAACTATTTTACTGTTTGTGACTCGCAATTTGATTTTCATTCGTCTCAAATCATATGTGGTGCACGTATTTCTCGTCGGCTAACAATGCTGTTTCAATCTATAGTTGCTAACAGCGACTCAATGTGTATTGTACCGATGACGATGACGATATGCATATTTGCGTGTAATTCACACTGCTTCATGATGACCATTATGCATATTTTTCTTTGGTTCTCTTTTGTTGACTGGCTAGATGGCTTTGTGTTTGCCCTCTGCCGTTGTGGATCTCGAATTTCATTGCTATTTCGCTCTCTCTCTCTCTCTCGCTCTCTCATTTCCCATTTTCATGTATATAAGCATATCTCTGACTCGCATCTGCGTTTGTATGTTCCAACTGTGAAGTGTATACATTGAGTGCGCGAGAATGCATTTGAAATGGCTGACATTTTACATTAGAGAACAAATAAGTGTAAAGTCGTCGACTACTACAGTTCTGATAGCCGATAAACATTTTGTCGGGAATAATAATGACGACATTTTCGACGAATGATTACATTGCAAAAGGCTATGGCCCTTGCCGGCAACGGGCAACAACATGATGGGGCAGTTGAAATACGTGAAAATGGTTTCTTCCACACACACACACACACACACAATGCATATGGATCTATATACATAATATGTGCATATAGAAAAGGTTCTTCTATAAACCATCAAATGCCATGCATTGAAAATGTATGCAAGCAAAAATTGTACTCATATTGAGCTTACTGCATACTATAATTTCATCGTGGCATGAATGAATGATGCTGCCGCTATTGCTGTCGTTTGTCTGCGATTCTCGTTGTTTGAATAACTTTGAATTCGAATAGATCTTTTGGCTACTGCCAGCGAATATATTTGGCCTTTGCACGTATCCATAAATATATGCATAAGTAGTATATTTATATTAACGTTTGTCGACCACCAACAAAGATCTGCGACTGACATCTAACTATCAAAAGTTACTTTGGCATTTTATCACTTCGGGTCCTTGGCTTGGGCAAATGGATTTGCGTATCTTTCATAGTTCTCACTTTATACACATAGATTTAGTTTCTCTCTCTCTCTCTCTCTCTCTCTCCATTTCATTCATTTTTCGTAAAATACGATCCAGCAGCCAACATTTTTTGAAG